ATTTCAAATATTATTTTATCGAACACTGCCTATCACACTCATAGAATGTATTTCTGCAACACCCTCTTTATGTTTAGCGAAACGTTACATGACGCCAGGATGTAAAATTCTACCTTTATATCATTAGAGCGTCTCGAACGCTCGACACAAGATCTCAGAAGAAATTCAGTTGCGTTCCTCTTTTTCCCTTTTATGGATAGTCATTTACCTTTGACTTAACCTACACACGCGTATCGAGCTGGTGGGACAAATTGAAGACTCCCTTACCAGCATAGAACTTCAAAGTACATCTGACGGCTGTCTCTTGTTGCGACGTTAAAACGGCTCGTTAGCAAAATTACAAAGAGTCCCACGGAAGTAGAGATATTTGCATCGGAAATTAAGAAAAAATTTTACTAATATCCACGAATCTCGTTCACCGAAACATAGACGATAGTTCGACCTCGTTTAACAATTATTTCCTAAAAATGGTACAATTCAATAAATCTCGCGTCGATTGACGAACGAGTAATGACGAAGACAGAAGAAGAATGAATAATAGTTGGATGTGAATTAACAAAATTAACGACGAAAATCGAACGGTTCGACTGCCGAATTAAAAAATGATAAAAAATCAAAAAATCAGTTTCCTATATTTTGTTATTCTGATATTTATTCAACAATTTTTCGCACATAAAATACAGAAATATTTCGAAATATGTAGCTTCGTGATTATTGATTAACTGGAAATCAAGTGGTGAAAAATTAATGACAAAAAAATACAACGTTATTTCTATATTTTGTAAATTCTGTTCTTACAGTATTCTATGGAGCAAGGAGTTAAATAAAAGTGGTGTGTTTTGCACATACCTTTTAATGCTTTCTTGATCTTAAAAATATAATAAATTAATTCAACAACTTAATCTTATTAATACCGGCAAAAGTATCACCAACGCTCCTCAACAGATTTTGTTTCAATACTTTTTAGTAGGATTTTATCTAAATTATCATTCATAAGTATCAGTGCACGTATTCCTACACACGAAAGGCACTCCTACAAAATTACGGGAGATTCTGTGCAGATCCAGAGTAGCAGAATCGCGCTATGATTATCGAAACACTTTCTTCCGATGCACTCTGTACATTGATGGTCTCGAACACTATCTCCTGCATGGTATTTCTAGATGTCTGTTCAATTTTCTTGAGTAAGACAAGATCGCATGATGTTATTGTAGGATCCACCCTTTTTTCTCATTTACTAGATACAAAACAAGAAGAGACGCCGAGGGTCGTCTCCGGGAGCGTCTTTCAAGACGTTTAATCAGAGTGGTCCAACGAAATTCAACGCTGGGCGCCTTAACTGTTCCACGGCTGGTTGCCTTAATCGCTGGTAGATGAAAGTAACGGGAAGTCCAAAAAACGTAAATTACCCCCCAATCTTTACTTTCCCTTTCACAAAAGTCGCCGGACCGACTACTTACTTATGAAATACACGGATAAGAGGTTCTCCGACTATTCCCAAGAGCGTCAACCATTTCAGATTTGCATGCTGATTGACAATCGTGGACTCTTGTTGTCTGCGATGCGACGGACAGCCTCAGTTATCCGTCGATGCGAGCCTGAAATGTAGGAAAACAGGCGGTTGATAGATGGAACCATCGATAAAAACGACAGGTATCAGAAAGGCCATGCAACCCTTCCACTTTGTCCCTGAAATTGTTGGAAATGAGAATACCGGTATATTACCATTTTAGAAAAAAATTGCGCAATCTTTGTATATATACCCGGAACCTTCGCTTACGGGGCGACTTTTTTTATTAATTAAGCTATTGCGGCCAAACAATGATTGATCTTCCCCTAATCCTGATATCCTAAACATCTCAGAAATGCCGATTCATACATGTACGAATACTGAGTCGTCGAATGATACAGAAATTCGATGTGATGTGCCGCAACTTTTAAATATAATACCTTGCAAGCATAAGCAAGTGCAGAGAAAACCGTAAAACAGTATGAAAGTGTGAAAAATTATGTTTATTGATCAATACGTATATATAGTTAACTCCTATCGTTTAACGAATACGCGATATACCATGAAATGTGGGGCAATGAATCTTGAGTCTGGGACGAATGATTCAAAATTGGTAAAAATCAACAGAATGTAAGTGACGTGAGATCGTTTACTGTCTAATCGAACTAATTAAAAGATTTTATACATCTTCAATCTTTAGATTGATATACTTGATCATTACAAGATTTCACAACGAAGCAAACGGTTTCTTTCACTATAATTAGAGACATCGCTCAAATATGTGAAATTAAATGATTATATGAACTATTACATAAAATATTTATTCTATTATGAACATGAAGATAGAGAATAGGTTGTTACTGTCACATATTTTAAACATCAGTTTCAGATTCCCTGAATCATGCCTTGACTGATTAACACGATTTGTGGTCAAATGACCGGTATGATAATTTTTATTCTATAATTACTGAAACTATAATGGTACGCCAGTAATCATTGAACGATTTTATTCATTCGAACACATATCAACATAAAAATTACAAACCATCTAAGTGATCTTGTAACATTTAATACACGTTTAGTAATAATCTTCAGGATAAACAATTGTGCATTTTGCATTCTTCGGAAATAACAAAAACATATTTTCTAAACAGCTTTCATTGGCATCCAGAACCAAGCATCGCCAAGGTTGACCAGGTTTGTAGTACGTCCACATTTAGTCTAAAGTCTAAAGGTTAAAGTTTAATCTCAGAGTAACAGTATGTATTTCATTTCGATTCAATATTGAAGAAGTATAAATATCGAAGCTACACGCTGAACTCATTCAATCAATTATTACAATTCAGCCGCTGAACTTCGTTGACACTTTGTTCAAGTTCCCTCAACGCAAACTTCCACGGAATAAATCTGGTGCCATAGTTCCGGGAGCCCGACGCATAATGGGTCTCTGAATGGAGAATAATCATTTCCGAAGCAAGACCGCGCTCGCGTCGATCATTCTTTCCTCCGCCATAAATAGATCCACTTAACCCTCTTTGTCTAAACCAGTGGTTTTGCTCGAAATGTAAAAAACATTTGCGTTTCTTTGAGACCGCCCTACCTATCGTAGGTCAAGTAAATCGAGCGTAACGTATCGCCCGGGCTTTTTACGTCGCCCGTTATCTGGCTCGCATTTACCCCGTAGCGTCGGTGCTATCTCTTTTTTCCGAGGGTGAGGAAAGCAGTCGTAAAGCAACCCGAATCGTACGAAATGAGCGGAACGTTTAAGATCAGGGGTCCTGGATTTCTACAGTGTTACCTACTCGAGAGGTTCGTTGCTCTTCAAAAAGCTCTCACGAGCTTTAATCTTTCGGACGACAAGCGATAGCCAGTGTACTTCATTATGGTGTCCCCGGCTGGAGAAGTAATCACGGTTTCCAGAAGGTTGGCTTGTTATCGTATGATAAAGCGCGACCCTTTTATGAAACGTCTCGCACCCTCGTGAGCAATCTTGCTGCATTTTTGTCCATGATTAAGTGCCGGCTTGTAAGGAGATACCTATTCCAGTTAAAAATATTAACTTCTGCATAGTTTTATAATGGAGGGTCTTCAGAATGTATTCTTGAAGTGTATAAATGCATAAATTTCGTAAATTTGTCGAACCTATACAGGAATATATTCTGAATGGTAGTACTTGCTTACTAGTTACCATTTTCTATTTAATTTTGGTTTATTGATATGTCCTACAATTTTGAATAAAGTGTTTCGTGAAAATTTGTGTTGTTATATCGAACCTGTCAAAATGTATATGCAAAACATTAGCTAACTAGGTTTGCTTATTTTCCTGGAATTAACTCGTAAATATTACTCTCTTGCCAATTATTACCTACCAGTTATCGTTTCAGTAAATATTGCATGTTTCCAAATTAGTAAGTGCAGGTAAATTTACGTTGACACTTCGCAAACTTGATGAGTTAACATATATTAATAATGACTTGTAACTCAACATTATTTTCTGACAATTTCACAACAATAAAACTGTGTATATATATATAATTAAGGCAAGAAAGAAACTTCTTGAGAAATCCACTTCTGCAATAGTTAACACTTTAATCATGCTCGTAAACATTTTTTCTTGAAAAATTTCAACGACCAATTGCAGGAAGGCTATTGTAACGCCCGAACAAGACGTATATCGGAACTTTTCATCGTGACGATTCGTCGCCTCGATTCGTTGGCGAAGTAACGAGAGAAATTCCTCTTGAACGTCGAACGTATAGAAAATTTTCCTAAGCGTCCTCTGAATATTCCATTATCGGCACGTAGCATTCGAAATATGTCGATCGTTGTATTCAAGTTGTAAAACCGGCACGGAGATTATCGATATTTCACGTGATTCAAGATGCTGCTCGGGGAAAGGCGGTAACGAGACATCAAAGTCACAAACAGTTGCTGCTTCACTGAAAACGTTCTATAGCAAATATCGTAACCCAGTTTTTCGTAACAATGAAGAACGGACTTGAATTTAAGCAGTAGTAGTAGTTAGTAATGAAAAATGATTGTACCACGACTCAAGATCTCAAAGCGGAGCTTTAAGAATTTATAAATAGTTAGCTTAAGATCGTTTAGCAAAGAATCGAAAACAAACCAACCTGGATCCATGTTACTAGCCGTCTTAGTAACAAACGCGTGTACTTAAGTGCATGACCAGCTGGATGACCATAAATCAATGCGCTTTCAAGTTATGGAATGGATGGTATCCTGGGGTTAATTACAAGGCTGTTACGGCGAGCTCTGCTTACAGCAATATATTTGCTAAGTAGCAGCCACTGCTATTAGCAGAATAAGCATCAACAACAAAGGCGAGTGTGCTAACACGGCACTGTATTATCTAACAGTGATAAAATCAATATCGAAAGATTCGCTTACCTACGACGGAGAAGCAGGATCTCGCGAACACACTTACCTATAATCGATACGAACCAACACAACTTTTCAATTTCTGAGTCAATTACTTATAAAACGAGTATATTTCCCGAAAATCACTTGTGAAACATGTACAACAATATGTACACACGAAAGAAACTTTTGCTATGAGGACGAAACAATATCGCACGAAGCAATCAATCGTTCACTAAATGTAACACGCTATCCCTGGTGATGCCGATTTCTCTTAACGTCGTACCTAACTGATCCAGCCTCCTTGGCGAGTAACTGAAATCATTGGAATAGTCAGCGATGTAGGGAAAGGTAGAAGTCGTCGACATCGATTTACCCGCTGAGGACAATCTTGTATCCTCGAGGAATTGTCCTCGCCATCGCTCTGTCCAGTAATTGGTAGAGTCGAGCTATCGGCTCGTCGGCAGAAACGTGCACCAGATATACTGTACCACCGTTCAATGATCTGACCTTTAGTCGAAGTTCGCCCGATTTTCCAGATGGTTCGTTTACCTGGTACAAGATTGGAGGCTGGAAAACGTAACACCATTAATAGCGATACCATCGATTAAATGTTTTCATGAAATGCTCACTGCACTCTTTCGAACTGGTTCTGCGGACTTTGCAGTACGAGGACTCCGCCTGCTTGCACTATGTGCTTTGTGAGGAATCGATGACTGTAGACCGTCAACATTATTGAACCCAATGAACGCTCTAGTTTTCGTGATCGGCTTTGAACTGATGGATATACGGGAGTTTGGCAGGCTGGATGATCTCGTCCTCTGCCTACCAGTGTGTTGGTTGTTCTCCAATCGACTGTGGGTACACAATTCGATTCGAGTTAATGAAACGGTATTCTGTACTTCGTGCGTTGTTGAAATACCTAGGCGATGCTTTGGACGAGGATCTGTCGCTGGAAGGATTGTAACATCGGCCGGAACTTGGAAATCTTAACACGCCTTTCGTCTTCACGAACCTCTCATGTATACTGGCGTCGCACTCTATGTGTTTGGTAGCTACGTCTCGCTAAAATGTATATTTACTTCTCGCTTGTGATCAAAGGAGCAAAGCAACAATGTCTAAATGACTGTGAGATATATGATATTAGAAAAGCATACCTTCTCTTTCCGACTGCTCAAACCGAGTTCGGCGTTGATATGCGACTGTAAATGAGTGTCGGAGCAAACGTTATTATGCGACGCCAATATTTGAGAACGGAGGACGTACATCTCGGCAGGCGGACTTTCTACTGTCGGGCTTTTCGATTTTCCAGATCTAAGAATGATAGAATAAATCATCTTTTCTGTGCGAATGTTACATAATTCAGTTTCATTTTCCAGTAGGGAAAAACAATCGTGTATTATCTCATTTTAGGTTGAATGAGACCACTGAAATAGTGAGTCACAGATTACATATTGATTCGCACTGGAAGTTTCATTCAATTTATCTGTGAAGCTGTGGATCTATATCATTCTTTAAATGTTTATACCTGACAGTTGTGGGTGTCGCGGAATTGTCAGTGCCGGAAACAGTGTCCTTTGAAGCTGCATTACGACGGCCTGACTTTAGAGAAGCTGTGCCTGGTCGCCGAGATGTACTGGGCGATATCGATACGTTATCAGCCTGAGGTTGTTTTCCCAGCCGATAACCTTGACCGGGGAATTCGACAGAGTCACTCAGGTACATTTGTTTTCTCCTATCCTCTACCTAATCATGAACATATTAAACTGTGAGATCAGTTTATTGAACAAATATAGTATAAATGTTGGTAGCGTGAAATCCTTTATTTCAGAAACTAGCAAAAGGTAGAAGAATTTGATTTTTTTAAATGAAACCAACTTATGTAGAGCAGTTTAAAATGTTCAAATTTAGCAATTTAAATAAAGTGAAAATCGGCAGTTGGGGAAAAATGTTGTATCAAATCAGGAATACCAAAAAAATTGGATGCTCGATTGATGCATGATTATGTGTTGCTTCTGAGATACGAATATACACAGTCTGCTTAAGAATTTAGTATTTCGTTATTAAAATTTTACGATGTTCAATACCACGTGCTGTTCCACATTTTTTACAATCGATCCTTAAAAATCGATGCTTGCGTAAAGATTAGCAGTTTCACATTATCTTTAAATTCATGATAGAAGATGGATATGGTTTACCTTGAAAGGTACACCGTTTGGATAAGCCTGTTGCAATTCGGAAGGGAAGTATCCTTCCAAAATGTCCCGCAAGAAGGACATCGTAGTAGGGTCATTATAAAGCCGTAGTAAACCATCATGCACAACCATTCCATTTTTGTAGAATTTCAAGGACATGCAAGAAGGCATCTTTGAATAATTAAAAACGCTCGATTAATCTTTTTCGGTTGAGTGAACGAATTAATTGGAGGTGAACGAATCGACATGTTATATGAACGTCTTAAGGAAACCGGATACTAAAAAAATCTTATCCTAGTGATCCGTATCTACTAGAATATCGTAAATTTTCCATGATCATAAGAGGTATTCGTCATTATTCACATAGAAGCAGTGGTAGTGATTAACATCGGCCTTTTTACGTTTAATTAGAATGCATTGAGGTCGAAGGATTGGCGTCGAAAATTGACACCACGTTACGCTAGCGCGAATATCAATGGAACGTGTCCCACGATTGATGTCGCATGGAATTAAGCAGGAAGAATGCCTGCCAACATGCTACAGCAGTTTCATAATAGCAATCAATCATTGGAAACGACATTGACGATGCATATACTAAATAAATAAAATACTTTCGCACTATGGTTAATCTTCGGATACACAGATGGCTCAAAAGAATCTATTTTATCTATAATTTGATTAACGCTAAAATTTTTGAAATGTATGAAATTAATCACATCATATCACTCAACAATGACTTTTATTTGTGACATACAGTACTATACATTTTCTATCTATAATAAGCAATATGGAGATTGAGTACGAAGAAAGACCTTTTGCGTTATTTTGAATGATATCCAAATGTAGGATAGTAACCATACTGTGCTCTCACAACAATTTTACTTATATTTAAAAACGACATTATTAAATTAAAGATACTGAATTCTTTAAATAAAATCTTTTCTGTAATTTTCATAACCGAATCAAAACTTCAACTTCTTAAAACCCATAAAATGTGGAAACTAATCTTGATAATGGTTTGATACTTTCTTCCCTGATTTTGTTAAAAGATTTAAAAAGCATGTTGCAAATAAATATGAAAAAAAAATACAAAAATAATGTTCTCTCTCGAAAGGAAAAAAATAAGCTATTATATTCATAAAACTCCACCAAATTACAGAAAAACCATAATATAATTGATTTCTTAGATATATTTTTTTATTTGAAATAATTAAAAAACGGGAACAAATTTACGTCTTGTATCTATTATTGTGTATTGTAATTGGAATAAGTTTTCATGTCTTTTCCGATGCGTGCGTTGCTAAACTACGTGTTACATCTAATCTTACATTCTTGATCCGTGAAATGTGTGTACGCTACACATGATTTTCTTTCCTATTTTTAATAATATCGTAAGCATTGAAACATAAATAATAAATTATGTTTAAGTAAATGAAAATATTTTATGATTTTACATGTCTATTATAAGATTATTTACCTAATAGAATCGAAGCACACCTAATCGAAGCACAGTAATTAGGTCAATGTACAGAAATTGACACACAGTAATTAGAAAGAGTTCAGTAACACAGACACACACACACACACACACACACACACAGTAATTAATTTTTCTCATCTTCTTAAAAGCACAGTAACTCGCTAGTTTGTCGAAAACTCCGGCACAGTAACTGATATACTTACGTTAGTATTCGAAGTTTTCTAACTGTATGCCACCCAATTTTGTTTAAATAAAGAGAAAATAACTAAGACAGCTCATCTTTGAGTGATAAGTGTAGATTATCTATTTTCTTGAGAAATTTGCCGGACCAAAGTCATGTACAGAAAAAAGAAAAAAACATTTTCGCAGAGGAAAATCATCTTTTTTGTGTAGTGTAACTCTTCAGGAATGTCATTGTAAAATCTTAAAACAGTTAGAAAAAGAACAGAAATTTCTTCCTTGGCAAAAAAAGGAGATAAGTGTGTTTTGAGATAGAAAAGTGTAGTGTAGTTATGATTTACTTTGAACATGGCGCCTCTCCCTTTCTCGTTGTGCTGTACATGAACTTCGCCCTTCCCTGCGGCTAAGTTTAGCTGATCGATGTTTGCAATTATCTGCTCGTAACAAGTCTCGATGTAACTACTAAAAGACATCGACAACTGATAATTAATTCGATTGGCAGCCAGTCTGTTGGAATAGTAACGTAATACGCAATTTACTTGGTGGCCGCTTCAGGGTTCTTCGAGTTCTTCGTATCGCCGACCCAGATCAGACCATAATCGGCCAAGAACTTCTGCAAAACGAGGACAAGGTAATTTCGCGTGACTAAAAGATAGTGACGACCGAATCGTAATCCGTCTAAACATTTCGTTTCCACACATATGCTACAAATACTTCAAGGTGGGAAACGTTCAACCTCCATCTCATGAATTCTCTGCTCGAGCATCACACATCGTCGGTAAAGCTTCTCCGAATTATCTTTTTGGATGCGCCGTTGCTGTTGCTCCCTTTTACGTAGAGTCTCCTGCTCCCTGGTCTTAGTTTCCCAATCCTTCATCTGCGCTCATCCGTAAGAGAAATACTATCTCAGAACAAAGATAGTTCAAGAAGAACAATTCGTGAGCTAAAACGATGGCGAACCTTTCGTTTCAACTTGGTCACTTCTTGATCCTTCGACTTTAATAGGACTTCCTTTTTCTTCAAGTCACTCTGCACCATCTGCATCTGAGACTCTACTAGATACAGTTGTTTCGTCAACGCACCGATTAGCTCACTCTCTGCGACAGGCGGTTATTGCGGTTAGCCGAAGCAAAATAAAAATCATAATCGCGCGCTTCGCCCTGACGTAACTAGTTCTCAGATTTGCGGATCTGCCAATGTCGAGTCAATATCACATACCTGACCACCAATTAGGATAGAGTTTCTACGATAAACGACACACGACCAACGCGCGCGATTAATTATACGAGGGCGTTTGAACGAAGACAAAAACTGACGACAGGCGTTTTATTCTCTTTTTTTCATCCCAATTAATAGCAAAATTAAAAAAAGACATTTTAGTCATCGTGTAGTATCATCTAAAAAAAAATCAAATCGCTTAATCCAGTTTTAACAAAGTTATTGCGTTTTAAAAGGTGTACACTTAATTTTGTGAGTAACTATAGGCACAACTTTCAATCGTTCTTTTGACAGACTGAAATTTTTGCTTTATAGCACAGCAGCAGGCATTGTTTTAAACTTTTCAAATATTCTAGACATTTGTGGCGAAGGTGGGAAAGGAGCATGGGAAGAACAATAGATGGAAGATCAGTCATAAAAACTACCACGTTGAGTATCCGTTTGTACAAACTCTTGCCTTACTTTAATAAACTGAATTTGTCAGTGAAATTATAACCAATATTCCTTGGTACCCTATACATGAGAATAATCAATGAAGATTAATTAACGTTGATACATATCCTAAGCATACCTTCCTCAATGACTGAATTGTCTGGAACGAAGGTGGTCGACGGCTTAGCATTACAATGATTCCATGCCTTTCTACCGCTGCAGAACGTCGTGCTCGAAGTCTAAAGAAAAATGCTGTGAAAATGCTCTTTCGTATTATGGTAATGAAGAAATAACAATTTCCTGGCTCACGAGCATAACGAAGGAAATGGCTTATTGCGTAATTACAGTCTTATCAATCCTCCTGGCAGGGCGATTGACGTCTTGCCTAAGTTCGGTGCCCGACGTGCTCTCTAATGTTACGTTTTTTATTCGTTCAAGGTCATCTTCGTCGTCTACTACATACGTCGATGTCGAAGAAATTCGCCTTAATCTGCGAATGGAAAAGACACGCGAAGCTCTATTAACCTCTTAGCCGTGATCTCACCTTTCTTTTGCAATTCGAGTGACTCCGGTGAGTATGCCGTTTAAGTATCGTGCATTTATTCGATTTGGTAGAGCGTGTGCAGAAGTTTAGGGTACTTGTGTTTGCTGATGGGACTCGGATGGACGCCTGAAGGACACTTTGCAAGTTTCTTTCGTGGGTGCCCAGAATTGGTCGGTTGATTCATTGTGAGCACGTTGTCGTTGGACACGTGTTTTCACGACAGCTACATTGAAAATTTTTTCGAAACTTTCTAAACGTCGGCTACCGACGTCGCATTTGTGAAACACTAGGTAAGGACGAGATCGGGCATGAACACTGCGATTTATGGCGACACACAGCCGAAGGAACAATCGGTGTGAAATTGGTTTCGATTACGGTGTGTCTGTATCGCAAGTCCAAACGAATATCTATGTTAGCATTTTTACAGTACTGGATAACCTTGGCGAAAAAATTGTATTTCACTGAGAAAACAATGTTCTTCATAGTACGAGATTCGAGAAATATTGTGCTTTGAAGATATTTGTCGACGTATCTGTTAAATTGATCATTCTTGGTAATCCGACCTGGTGATGCATTTAATAAAAATAAAACGGTTCAAATCAGTGAAAGTCGAGACCTTCATAATGCCAAGCTAGATTTAACCTACTTACAATTAGAACGTATGCACGAATAAATAATGCACATGTCAAAAGAGTTTTTGTTAGCACGTCCATCATGCATGTATTATTCAAATTTGTTGCGCAAACTAGAGTAGAAAGAGATGTTTTGCGTAACCAAACAAATACGAAGAATGTTTAGATGAACAGTTTTTAAGAGATCCACGAAATTAATCGCTTCCACTGAAATTTCGGAATGGCTCGAATAAGAAATTTTGAATAAAATTACATAAAATGTTTTGAATTACTCTTTCATTGTCCCTATAATGAACCTTAAGGCCTGAATCCAACTGAGAGTAAAACTGTCGCAAGTTGCTTTCGAGAGTATTTCTCGCAAATGGACTATGGACACAGTCTTGATATTAACTTTTATTTGCTCTGTTATTCTCAAGTGAAAATAATTCGCGAGAGTTTTTTTCTGAGATGGATTCGAGCCTTAATTGCCGAAAGTGTTACTCTAGAATGGACACATGTTATCGTATTCGTCTCGTTTTTCGAATTAAACGATTTCAATTTCGGATTTCAACTTATTGTACAAATATCGTGTTTGATGTTCTTCGCAGCTCCGGGAATAACGTGACAATTGGAAATATCGGTTAACGCGAAAGGAAAAAAGGAAACTACCAAGAAATTCAACCTTTCCTAGAACCAGGGAGTGACACGTGGGCGTAGAGATTAAATGTAAAGGATGCACGCATGCGACGCAACCAGCGGTGTGATCGATCGACCGGTGGCGCGTCGTTTCCCGTCGCGTCGCGGCGCTCGGGCAGCATCACGTGACCCGTATCTCGAAACGCTCGGAACACAGCGAATACAAGGGCACTGTGACGAAACGCTGGAGCAGAGCGCGCTCGTATGTAACGAAAGTGACCCTGTGCGTGGTGCGTTTCTGCGTTTCCTGTGTCCGTATCCCCGAGTGTCAATTGAATCTGTTCTTGCGAGCGGTCCGTACTGTCGTGAAACGATGAGCTCGGGTGCGTAAACCATCAGCGGACGTGCGTCCAAGAAAATGCCAGCTCGGGAGCGACTCGTCGAAATTTTGAAGGTCTCCGTCGGTCGTGAAGACGAGACGAAGGTGAGTTACCGTCCCCGTCACTCTGCCGCAGGTCGAAGGCCACTGGCCATGGCCACGTGGTGCATACGACATACGATCCGCGAAGTTAGTCCTGACTGGACATAACCTCAACTCCGCGACGGGAAGCGTTTACCCATTGAGGTTAGGATCACGACGGTTCTTCGACTCGGTTTCAATCGCTTGTTGTTCAACGCGCTATCGTTGGAATGTGTCGATCACGGCGACTTTCAACGAAAACCGATAACATTGGTCACGAGAAAATGTGCGAGACCGGCATGTTGATATCAGCGACGTCCATTATCACGATCCCCGGTATGCGCAGATATCTGGGTGTAGTGTTCCTATTTAAATCATTCTGACCATAAGAAATGAGATTCCACGGATTCTCGCGATTTTTATGTAATGCATCTTTGCATGGATTTTTTTGCAACGCTGGCACGTTACTACACTGCGGATATTAGTATGTTCATAGGCGATCGAAACTGTGAATTTCCACAGGCGAGATATTTTTTCTGTAAGTTTGATGACGATCGTACTAGCGTGTTACTCTGTTTAATTTATCATTGTTTCAAGTTGGGTATATTTATTTCCAAGTTTGTGGAATTATGGATTGTACAGGGACCTACAGTAACAGTCTAAGTGTCTATAGGGGAGGAAACCAGTATGGTTGGTCTCTGTGATCCGCGGAATCAATGGAATAATTTTCTCGAAATCTGGAATACAGTTTGCCCTTGAAAGCGATAGAATTCAGGCATAAAGAGTGGTACAATGAGAAGTTAATGAAGAATTTTTTGCGAGATCTTCGAGTGTAGGCAAATGGAGATCGATTTTCATCGGAAGTCAAGGAGTTGATGAATCAGCGGGACCTTTAACATCGCGAGGATTTATCTTATGCGCGATTTCACGCTGGCCTGCACGATAATTTTTTCGAAGACAATCGTGCCGACTATAAAATTAAATTTTGACAGGTTAGATAACGAATTGCTTCCATGGGTACACAGGTTGTATCAAGTCATCGTTTCATAGTTTGCACAATTTCCGATAACTATGCAGAACAGGACGATACCTCGCCGATATCGGCGACTTTTTATTATTGCTAAAGTCGACATTCTTCATATTTTTTCTTTATTCTTGTAATTGCTTTATCAAAATCTAACTCGGTTCTCAGGTTACCATGAATTAGTAGATCAGGGTTATCTCTCATCTGACTATTCGTGCTGTGGCCGATGAAAAGATTTTGAAATCTGATGGTAATATTGCCTAAATCGAGGAAAAGATAACTAATGATACCACGAAAATCTAAGTTAATTCTCAGCTAGGTACGATACTCTATATCTTATAGTATACATATATTTTATAAATATAGTAATTTATGTAGTATTGTATTTCTACGCACAGCCTTACAAATATTTTTCCGCATATTCCCAAGACTCGTGCGACACTAACACGTACCAGAAAAAGTTATTAATCATGATAAATTTGATAACACATTTGATGGTCATTCAAATCGATAAGGTTTTCTTTACCGCAAACGCGGATTGAAGTTAAAAATTTCTATTGTTTGGATAGGCATGAACTGTGTAAATAACTACATGGTTCAGTTTTTTACTAAATAACGAGATTCTTGTTAATCGTCAAAATCGCCGAGGTTACGTATTTATTACGTAACCTTGGCGTTATAGATCTGGATTTTAGAATAAAAACATTAGTGAAGACGTTATTATCTTTCGACAGCGAAACGTCTGTAAAAAAGCTGGTTATTAACCTCGGTAATCGTCAATTCAGCGAACGATAACGCGAGCTATGTATAATATATCGCTGCGTCGATCGAACTGCAAAAATCGACCCGCCAAGTAGAATGGTGCGACCTTGCAATTTCACGGGCACAAATGCACGTTGAATCCATAAAACATGGAACGGAATTAAACGGAGTGTGACGCGAAGCCGACAACAATTAACATTAGAATGAGTTACCTTAGTCTACAGAAATAAAACATGTGATATTACTGTCGTTTTGCTTGCAATGATTTATACTTGAACCAATAGAATCATAAAACTACAGTGCTTTTTCAAACAACGCTGTTCTGATTGATTTTTTTATAAATTTAAAACAAACAAATATCAGACAGTTTAGATTAATATCGGAAGAATTTGCTGAAAAAAGTGAAAACAGCGCAATGAATAAAATATGTACAAATTTAATCGTAAAAATTGATCTACGTAGTGAGTACAAGCAGAACATTGTAAGTTGTGTTTGCACGAGGTTGCAGGAGGTCGAAATTGAATAATTTTTCGGTCATAAATTAGAGTTTCTCTCATTTTGTTGAGTAGCTTATATTTGTTCAGCGAAAGAAATATTAAATCACTGACCAACACCAGTTGTTGCTATAGCAAAATTTTCGAGTATTGAAAATTATCATGCACGAAATCGATCATGAAATCGATCGAGATCAAACGAAAGCATCAGTTATCGGCTCAATGCAGACATGTTGCCCTGTCAAAGAGAAAATATCAATTCCAAATGAATTCAAACGTTCCACTTAATTGTGCATAAAATTTGTTTGCATTTTTCAGCAAAAATAATTACAATTACCTCGTCTGTAGTATATATGACTAATATGGGGGTTATAGTTTAGAATGTAATTGATACAAGGTAACTCTACCTAGCTGCTAAAAAAGTCCGAATACATATATTATTATTATCTTTATAAAGTAAAGTAAAATAGTCGCTTTTAGTAGTCCATGGATCCAGTATTACCTAATCACATGATAACCAATCTGTAGGCGTACGATTATCACTGCAACCATGTAAATCATGCTGCGAACTCTGTTCGGTCACCGGGCTCCTATTAACATCGATTATCCGATGTCATGCTTTTTCCATCGTTTATAGTTACAGAGTCATATGACGCGGCAATCGCATTGACACAATCAAAAGTCTCCGCGGAAATCGTCGATCGGTATCTATTGCCGGTGACGTGATCCACGCAAATTGTCACCAGGAGACATACCAATTTCTCGGTCACGTTTCTTCGATCCACGGCGAACCCTACCGCCTTTGTACTTACACGACGAATTGAAGAATGACGGTGGTGGGGCCTGAAAGATAGTCGATGCCTCGCGTGGTCCCGTCACCTTTTCAGTGTGGTTGTTCTCCAACGTTCGCGATAACGTCTCGCCCCTTCTTTATCCTGCCGGCGCTCATTCAGCGTTCAGGCTTCGACACGAGGCGGACACGACTCCTCCTTCGAAGTTCTCTTTACTTCGACTACACTGGGTTGTTATCATTTTCCCGGGCAACAGTTTCCTATCTTGACAATTCGGTGTTGAGTCGACACAATCGGTTGGCTGTCTGTCTGTTGACTCGAATGTGGATGTCACGAGTTGACCGCTGAATATAAAAGGGCACGCACGGATGTCGCTGACTCAGTCGGTTTCGCGCTCTTGTAGAAGTTCGGTAGTGCTTATGATAACGCCTCTTGGACACGTGGTGATGTAAACATTGCTACTGTTGACTGGAAATCGATCGGAACGCACTGAACTTGAGTCGGACAGCTTGCCACGTGGTCTCCTGTAAGTAACCGCTATTTCGTTGGCTTTGGATATCGTTTATTCTCGCGTGACGTGAAATATTTCGTCAGTTCATTTTTCTATATTATTATTAAATATTTCGTATCGATATGATATGTACAGGACAAAAATATAAGACATCCTTACATATTTCTATATAACTTGTATTTGAAAGAAAAGATATGTATTTCATTTATCCTATATGTGATATGCAATTTCTAGGCTGTGTGTACAAAACTTTAAGTTCGATCGAAATACAACGCTAGAGTTGCAGGAAAAAATGTTAACATAAATCGATTTTGATTGGACAAAAGTATAGGACACTTGGTTTATTTATCACTCTTACAGAACGTGTTAGTAGTTCGACTGCGAAAAAATAAGTTTTCAACTATCCCTTAGATAGGTTTGGACAAAAGTGAGATTGATCGAATAATAATACGGTCTGAGAACTTTAGTATCACCAAAATAGTTAAATTATTAAACTATTATAATGTGCTGAAAAAGTCAAAAGGCAAGAAAACCTCGTGCCATAACAGAATGTGATAAAGGTGCAATTTTACGAGTTGCATCGAACTGTAAGGGAAACGGCGAGACAAATTGTCGAAAAAACTGGTATACAGAGAAAGTTAAGGAACGTGTGTCGTATTCCACAAAGGAGCGAGAACATTAAATGCAAGAAATTGAAGCAACGGTCTTATTTAACTAAGGTTTATGAAGCAACACGGTGGAAGTTTACTCTTGAACATGTACATTGAACGAAAGAGTAGAAAAAAATATTTTTTAACGATAAAGAAAGTTTAATTTAGATGTACCTAATGGCTGGAACGTTTATTTTAGTTTCACAACAGGATTACGCCGCTATTCATGAAAGCTGTAAAGATAGTTTTTTTGTTTCAAAGCAAATTAAAGTTTTAGAATAGTCTGCTCATCCGACTTAAATATAATTAAAAAAGTTTGGAGTGATTTAATTAGAAATGTTTATGCGGGTGGAACACAATTTAAAAACTTTAATGAACTATAATGAACTATTTGAAGTGCAAATTTTGTATTATTGTCTTGTATTTTTGTCCAACTAAAATCAGTTTATTTTGATAACTTTTCCTACAACTGCAGCGTTGCATTTTTGTATAGATTTTGTATACACTGTTTGTAGATGGTTAGGATGTACATGCTACATAGAAATATGCAAAGTGCTTATACATATTTTTATCTAGCACTCTAGGTGTTACGCCTTATCGTGTTCAGATATGCTCGTTCGTTTATCGGTATCGTCTTTGAAATCGAAGCAGCGCCATCGCCGTACAAGTGTTTACAAACGTGTTTCAGTTGCTGTTTACCCAGAGGAACATGGCATTTTCTCTCGGTGTCATTGTTGGTCGTTTGTAGCCACTGCCCACACGATTCAGTTTTGCCTTGTACCCGAAATTGGTTACGCAAGTGCATGTGTATTCGCGAATCTCCCATGGACATATTAAATCCGACAGTTACGATAATATATCGATCAACGGATTCTCGAAAAGTTTACGTGTAAACGGGGCGGGAGGGGATGCCTGAACAAATATTTCTTAATTTTATGTAATAGTGGTATTAACAGTTCTAAGCAATATTTACTTTATCATCATTGGTCTTCTTAGAATTCTTTCATATTTAATTCTTATTTTATTAAGCGAAATTATAGTAATAAACAATATCTTAGTAACACTTTGACATCCAATTCTGCAGCATAAAAAATTCCATAAAATCGAGAGTAAAAATTTATTTTTAGAACCGGATAAATAATTCTGTCTTCCATTTTTGACTGTCGCTTCAAAAATTAAATTAGAGTACTCATAATCCATGTAAAAATCCGTCACATAGATTACATGATACGAAGTAATTCTCTTTTATTCACTGTTCGATTAATCGTGTACGGTGTTCGATCGATTCGTTTATCGGATACAATACGTACACCAATCATATTACGAATTTCTGTCTATCCGCGTGTCAGATATATGTCTAACGAGGAATTACTATCGACAAGGTCCGGTTACACAATATGGATACGAATCGCGGGAAAGGCCGGAGTGGACAATAGAGCTGTGTCATCCAGCCACGTGACTGGTCATTATCGATTCAGACAGGAAAAAGACGTCATGAAAAGTTGCAACGATTTTAACATAAGTTTGCGAACAATGTGTTTCATATTTCTTAAATAAATTACTTATCGGCCAGTAGTGATGCACGATGTCTTTTAAAAATCTACGATTCGCAACTAAGAATTTTACAGTAACAATATTGATCGTCGATCAACAAAGCAATAATATCGCATGAGAATGTTGCATAAAAGAATATGCCAAAACGTCTTTTTAATGTAACACAATCATTGAGAAACTTAAGTATTTGAGTTCAAAATACAAGTTAGCTGATAAACTTCGTGTGTTTTAACAAATTAATCACTTTCATCATGTGAGCGTAAATATGTAATACTGCTTTGAACCTTTGCAAATTTCTGGTGTCTTCTAAAAGTACCGCAAAATCAATTAATCGTTTTAGAGTTAAGGTTTATACCAAGTATCTTAAATACTGAAGCTTTAATCTGAATCACTTATTTGCTTGGTTGCCCATAAAAGGGTTAAATAGCGAAAAGAAGTTATAATTATTATAATCATCTAAAGAAAGTGAACGACTTCAATCGCATACATTAGAGTGATGTTCCCAATGCGAATGAATAGACATTAATCATGAATTACACGCCGTTAGCAGAAAAATGTGCTGTGTCGTAATTTACTGTCGTCGATGATATTTTAATGACACGATGATTTACACTATCGCATTAACATGTATATTTCGTTACCGAAGAAGATAAAGTGGAAACAGCTTTCTATTTAGCTATACCTAAGAAATATATCGTGTTTCTTTCAATTCTTTATCTTAATGAGCCCTAAACGCGATTAACGTGTATTTTTTTTTATAACATTGACAATATTAGATTCACTCAGCTTTGTATGCTTGAATAAAGAAATTTATTAAAAAATTGCTCGTTGTAACATTTTAATAATTTCAATAACAGTAAAGAAAGAATGAGGAAACAATTTTTATTGATTTGGCAGTGCAAGTGCTAATACGAAAATGCAACAATATTCGTTGATACTTCTATGTTTCACTTTTAATATTGAAAATGTATTTCGCTTAGCATCAATTCGTTTACTGTGGTATGTTTGAACGACACCTGTCCTCGCATCATGGAAACTACAATACAATCCAAGAAAGAAAAAGTCATGATTTATTGTGCAAAAAAGAAAATGACGAAGGTTTATTCAATGCCACTTTCTTCCGGTTATTCACGTAATTGGTGTTGCGACCTTCGCCAGCTGATGAATTTTCAAACGCGTTCATCGAATGCCGCGTATATGAGTTCCGTGTCGGAATTTCATTGCACCCCCACAAAGTAGTCCACACGTTATTAAATACTGGATATTTCATTTTTGCGGTATCATCGATCCGAAAGTTCTAATAAAGGCGCGCGGTCTTCCCCCATGCCTTCATGCAAAGAGCATTTGAATCGGTACAATTAAAGTTCCGTAAAATTCGCTGTATTTAATTAATTTGCTTGATCGAACGAATGAGAACTTCTGACATCGAATACGTAATTTTTCAATGAGTATTTCGTCGAACTTTTTATTTTTGAAGCGAGATACTAACTGACACGGTATTAACAATATTCGTCTTGCAACACAGATTTTTGCCTTCTTCATTTTGCTATTTTTATAGAAGAGTTCTCTTGCTGTTCACAATTATTTAAACAATTTCGAATATTCAAACGAATTAGATCATTTAAGTGGAGAAGTAAGAGTATTTTATGTGTTAATCAAATCAATTTTGTATAAAAATGTAACGAATTAATGATTACATATAATAGTACATTATTTGCATATGTAAGACGTTGAATGATCAGAATTATAATGGAAAAAGTTAATTCAAACTTCTTTATACCGATTCGTTTTAATCGACGATCTGTTATGTTGTATCATATTTTATAAAACTCGCGTAACGTCAAAATAACGAATTATTGCTTATGATTGTACATAATTATCGTATAATTGTGAACGTACGCAATCATTCTGAGTTACGTTCGCCCGTTCTAATAAACGAGTATCGCGATATGACTAACGCTGACATTATTTAATTGTTGTTTACAAGTGTTGGAATGAGAAACAAGCGCTTAATTAGGGTCACCAGCGTCCAGACAAGCTGTGCTTGTGTGAGAATATCTAGCCGCCGCCGATGGGACCATAAGATCATGAGATCGTCTCGAGTAGGTTACATAAATAAAAATACCGGCAGTTCTCTTGCTGAAATTTGTAGCGTCGAATTGCGATACCCCGCGGTCAATTTACAACTTGTAGGGGAATAAGCCTTGCATTGCATCGATCTTGCAATCCGCATTTTTTGCTCAACTGCTATTGCAGTAGTAATCTCGTCTAATGATTCTAATGACAGTGACAGGCTACGGTTAATAGCTAAATCGTCGAGGCAATTTAACTGTCGCTTAACGCAGTCCCATTAATTTCCATTATCGGTATAAAGATTTACGATCGCTTAATTTTTCCGCATCGATTATACCGCTTCCGTAAATTAACAGGCAATTTATAATTGCGCGAGTCACGGTCGAAATTGTTATATATCACTGCTTCGAAAACTTATTCATATCTGCGTTTTTATTGGCCATGTTTCAGAATCCCAGGTGATCCCTGATTATTTATCGTACAAGGAAGTCCGTTCAGGCACCGACCGATCAGCAAGATGGCGGATACAGGGAGGTAAGGGACAGGCTGCCATTGATAAAAAAATATAAAATGGCTTCATTTCATGAGCCTTTATTAAAATAACATGTAGATAAGTAAACTATGGATGTTCATGCAAATATAGGGCAAATGAAGACAACATGAAAAAGAACATAATAAATTGTAGTAATAAATTGTAAAGATAATTGGATATTTCTTCTAGAGAATACTGCGAGTGTCAAAAGTAAAGTTTGTCTTTTATTCAATCTTTTAGTAAATCATAATTTACTTACCCTATAATAGTGTAACATTTTTGAGAAAAAAAAGAAATAGATACAAGTTTATGTACCATATTTTCTTTCTATTACAACTAATTCATTGGTTTATGTGAAAATATCAATTGTATCTCTTATGCAGATACGAAGAACATACCATATGTAAGACACGTCCAACATGCAGCCTGCGAAAACTGAGAGGTAAAGGATTTTTTTAACTATAAGTTGTATAGAAAATGTGTAGATGTATTTTTATTAATCTGATTTTGAGTATAACTATCTTTTAAAATGATCGGTTTAAAATTTAAAACGATCTTAACAACGGTTTAATGAAAACGATCTTTCGATGTCTGTTTAGAACATGAAGTATTCAGGCAAACTGCAAAAACAGTCATTATTACTTCCATATTTGTTACTTATATTCTACTATGATTGTAATATGAATTTATTAAGGAACAAGTCTCTGATGCAGTTATTTTAAAAGTAATTTTTCAACTGCTACAAGAATTGATATGAATAAAAATGAATACAGTAAGAGATAAAATTGTGTGCAGACTGCATTAAAATGCTGCAAAGGAAGTAACAAGAAATTGTAGATAACGAGGAAAAATACGAGTAATAAAACTATAAATATAAGTTCGCTGAACATGTCGATGAGGTGTCTCCTCACTGATACAAATTATTTTTATTATCCTCACGTAGATACAAATCATTTGATTGGAACATTTATACAATTGACATTTTATGTACAGCGTGTAAAGTGTATTAATATTTATGGACGGTAGTGTACAAGTAGATTTGAGCTTAACGTGAACTGGATTTCATGTTACATACAGAGTGTCCCAAAAATGTCTCGCAAACCGGAAATGAGAAGTTCCTGGGATCATTTAAAGTAACTTCTTCCTTAGCGAAAATGCAACCCGTGGCTTCGTTTATGTGAATTATTAACGAAAAACACTGACCAATGAGAGGCGAGCTCTGGCGGTCGAGCCAATGAGCGCACGAAGCCCAGTTCCGCTCATTGGCTCGGCCGCCTTGCGCCAGCATATCTCACCTCTGATTGGTCACTCTTTTTCGTTAATAACTCGTAAACAAAGCATTTTCGCCAAGGACAAACTTACTTCAAATTACCTCAGGAACCTCCTATTCTCGGATTGCGAGACTATTTTGGGACACTCTGTAGACTATATCCGCATTTTCAGACATGATCCCAGCGCGAGTGGTGCTATATATGCTGTCATTCTCAGGATTCACTGTCTCTTTCATGATGAGAAACGACATAAACATCGCCATGGTGGCGATGGTCAAGCAACCATCGACCATATCTAACGACACCATAGTCACAGTCGATTCTCAGTATTGCTACACAACACCAAATGCATCCTTTACAAACAACGATACGCTCTCCTGGGATAAGGTATGCATTTTCTACGTAGGCTGAATCATTTGTGTATATCGATTTATCTGTTGCATAAAAGAATGTTTCAAACAAACGTTGTTAACATCATACATATAATAATTAGTATTTTTATTAGCTTTATTTTCATTTATCAAATAGCAAAATTTATATATTATCATATATAAAATTTATATTTTATGGCGGTCTCGAATACTTACAGCTGTATTTATTTGTACGTGTATTACTCAAAATTGCACGTTTGTGGATTCTTAATTTTCATATACTTAGAATTATTGAGAATTTATAGAAAAATGTTGTTGATTGCGATCTTATGTGTATGAAACTGTAATGAAAAAGTGTGTGCACAGAATTATAAAAACATACACTTATTTCCGCGATTCAACTACTGTGCAACGCAGCTATTAGCTACCGCGAAATTATGTGAAATGTTCCTCAGAACGGGCGACATTTCCTAGACTCGATTCTACAAATGAAATATGGAAGGTACTTTTATGCAAATTACTTTTTAACGAGAGTAGATATTTCTTTCTTGTGAGATTGTCAACTGGTTTAATCTTATTTATAAACGATTTAAATGAACGATTTCTTTTTACACGGATGTGGTACGTATTAATTATTGTTTTAAGTAGACTTAAATCTTTATGCAAAAGATAATTTGTGTTATATTTTACAAAAATCGGAGTAAACAAAAGCTTATGCATTCCACCAGTGTAATACTATAGTGTTGTTGAAATGAAAAACATTTGTGGCTGAAGGCTTATATAATCATTCGCAATTCATGTAATTATATATTTGGAAGTCTTAATTGTGATTTCCTTATTGTATAGTCTAGCTTTTAGAAATCCTCGGAAATGATTAAATTTAGCCAATTGACACTATTATTTGCAAGAAATAAAATAACCTTGTGTTTGATTCAAGATACCTCATTATAGCGAAAATTTAATAAGTGCAATACGGTAAAACGTTCGAACGAATTTTATGAGTTTTCTTATATATTTTTGGATATAAACAAACTCTTCCTAGATAAAATACTATTTTTTCGATCTCATTTTTTATAATCGTTTGACAATACAATCGTTTGATGGAGAAGATCTTTAAATATAAGGAAAATATTTCAAAAGTTCACTTATAATACACGTATAAAAAAGGATTAGAACTGAGGCATGTGTCTATTTGTAGAGACGCGGACGTTACAAATGTAATACATGAGCAGTCTACCTACCACTTGTTTATTGCCTTCTAATTCTTTAGTTAAATTGGTGAGAAATAGAAACTGAGAAGAAGCGCCTTGATCAGTTCCTTCGAAACCACATTGGTCAAGGAGACTCTGCTCTTCATTATTGATCGTGAGGATAACGTTACACGCTGGTACCCTTGTTTCAAAGCCTACAGTCAAGATATTAAAAAATCCGTTCACGTAACGCCACGTGTATAATTATCGTCGTGATCTTATACCGTAGATTCTTAGCGACGGCGGAAACTCTATAATTGCCGCCTCCGCGACTCGATAAATGGCAGTGCTGAAATTGATAAAGCGATTAGAGCGACCGATTACGCTACGGGCGTCCGGATGATGACACTATCCAGTTTACAAGCCCTTACGTAAATCTTGGTTTATTTAACAGAAAGCATCAGCTGCAATATTTCGTCACTGTCTCTACAGCCGTTGTACGTTTGTGGGATGATTGTTACGGGTTCGACGAAGCGATTTTGATTTCCAATAGTTGCGATCGACCACTTTTCTTGATCATTCAGCGAATGTTGCTGATAGGCGATAACTTTTCTCAAGATTGAACCAATCGTTCTTTTTTGTCGGTATCTAATAGTTTCGAATAGTCAATGGCTGTAGGAAACACTCTGAATGACAAAATTAAATATCTTAGCCAATCAGATTCGCAAATGCTAAACTGTCCGTTGGTGAACTAGTTCGTGCAAATATCTCATTGTTTAATTGTTGGACAGGAACAAGGGGAATTCGAATGGAGCCCGACCATACAATCCGTCATCAGTGGCTCGTTCTACTGGTGTTACATACTGTCCCAAGTGGTTGGCGGTGTGCTCGCACAGTACTTCGGCACTAAAACAGTTTTCGGCGGGTCCCAGCTAATTACGGCGATCTGCAGTTTGCTTTTGCCGACTGCGGCGGGGATCCATTATGGCTTCATAATTGCTCTCAGGAGTATACAGGGCGTCGCAAGTGTAAGTATCTCTTGGAAAGAAATGTAAACTGTGTTCATCAATTGGTAGCAGAGAATTTGAAAGATTCAACCTGATAATCTGTAGTGGTTTATTCTTTGTGCTTAAAATTCTGTAATAAATTCTGTACTGATCGACGAAACGATTGACGTTCTAAAATTGATTAATTTAAAACGCGATTAACTGCATTGTCTGAAATAATGGTAATTGGTATGTTCAGGGACTCACATGGCCCGCAATGTATGCCGTCGTTGGACATTGGATCCCGCCTGTGGAACGTTCTCGTTTCATGTCTTCCTTCCAAGGTAAATCGCCTCTTGGTAACACATCGATTGTTTTCTTCTCTTACCTGTTACAGTGAAACTTCGATACGTCCGTTTTCTTTTTAGGCCCGAGCCACACTATTGGTTCGTGTCCAGTCCAGCCTCGTTTCGGTCTCGGTCCAGCAAAATTCTATCGCGTTCGCACTGCCGTACAAGTATCGTACACGATAATACAAAACGGTGAATCAATGTCGAATTGGACCGAGACCGAACCGAGACCGAACCGGGAATGAATCAGTAGCGTGTACCAGACTATAGCGTCTCCTCTTGAAAACAATAGACAGAAAAAGAAACAAAAACAAACGAAAGATAAACGAAACTGGGTTATTTGTGTGGAATACTAATGGCACGCTTCTTTCAGAAACGGGAAACGGAAGTTCGAATGAGAAAATGCTTTGTTTTTCAGTCAAAATTCACGGTTCGAGACCACAAGATCATGTTTGTCGATCAAATACGAGATAACACGGTCTCATTTCGACGGACATTTCACTTTGTTTCTGATTCATTCAAGCTCCACGTGGTTGCATTCGCCGGACCGAGGGGTATACTCAACAGCAACCGCTCAACAGCATGAGAAAGGCCGAGTATACTTCCAGCTGGTAGAATCAGCCGGGCTCGAGGAACACGTTTTGTAATACTTGTCATTTTTCATCATTCTTTTGTATGTGCCCCGGTGTCGATCGTTCTACGAGAAATCCGTGCTCGTTATTCTCTATTTTCTTTTCCAAAGAATTACGTGCATTATCCAATCATCCTTCTCACTCAAACTTTCTTGGAACATACATACTACGCGATCGAACAACGACAACTTTTACTGTTATTGTAGAATTCCATTTATGCGATCCTATTGATGTGTGGAAATTATCACCACATTACATTTTTATGATAATTGATAATAACTTCAATATCATGACTGGGTCTCGTGAATCAAAGTACATAACTGTCATGGTTATTTTATAATGGAATAAAGTTATTTCAACCTAAGTGGTTCAGATAAGAGACAAAATCATAGAGTCTTTATGACTTTTCGGATTTGTATCTAATCTGTAAACAATTTGGTTATTTACTTGTCATTAACTGTAAAGTAGGCTGCATTCCAACAATGGCTTTTTGAGAAGGTTTCGCTGAACTGCTCATATAATAGAAGTTCGTCTAATTCAGTTTTATCTGTTCACACAAACATAATAATGTCACAAGTCATCAAATTTAGAAATGTATTTGCGGAAATAACGATAGCTTGACAAATAGATCAAATAAATCTATGTTAGAAACTTTTGATAACTTCAATCAATTTTCTTAAGGAATAACGCTTGGCAGATTAGTTAATCACAGGAATTGTCTAAAAATTTTGTTCGAACAAATGGAATTCTACTGTATATATTACGAGTATACTGTCTCTATTGTGTCTCCATTTTTCCGTTTCTATGCGTCATAAACATATCGGGCTAGCCTTGGTATATGTAAACTGGAACATTCCTTTGCTAACTTCAATAAAAAACAAGATTGACAACTTGAATTCATAAAACTCTCCGGGCATTTCTTTGATCATGTTCGAATACTCTGTTTCATTGCACCAACTGACGTGCCGACAAAAGAATGAATGTTCACGCAACTCACCATGAAACGCTGTACCATGTTAATAATCAAGGCTGAATGCGAAAGCAGTATACTTTAAAATTCATGCAGAAGACCAGTACTCACATATGCTTACGTAATTAAGTCAGATCTGAACTGTGGTCTGTTTTGTGAAAGAAGATACTCAAAATACATAAAATTGTACTATTTTGAATTAACTATATTAGAATGAATACTCACATCAGGTCTCTTCTTTCACAAAAGAAGCTAACAGAACAGATCCAATGAGCAAAAATATTAAAAATTTAGCAAAAACAGTAATAGTTAAAAATTGTATTCTATATGATTTGATCAAAATTCACTATGTAGCTATTTTGGTAACTGTGATTGAAGAGTTTACTCACTCTTGATATATTTTCAGGTATAGAAGTTTCATTGTCGTACTATAGCTACCTCGCCGTGCATTCATCATCATCCTCTCGTACTAAGTCTCTACTTGAATCGCTTTACAGGGTGAAATATAGCGCCACCGCTGAAGAGCGATCATCGACAAGAATGAATCGTACACGAGCCAAAGCGAAGCCATTCGACAAGCATCATGTTTCAGCTTCCTTCCGGGTCGTGGGGTGAGCCACTCCTAACGTCTAGATTATCTATATTCAGGGTTCAGCTTCGGCATCGGGATTACCTATCCACTGTGCGGATTCATCATCGCTCACTTTGGCTGGAGATTGGTTTTCTATACAACTGGCACCGTTGGCATCATCTGGTGCCTTTTCTGGTACTTCTTTGCTTTCGACAGTCCCGCCGATCATCCAAGAATATCGCAGCAGGAGCTACGGTATATTCAAGAAAGCGTTGGAAACCAAGTCCACAGGACTCAGGAGGTACCGTTCAGATTGTAATTGTTTTGTGCACTGAAATATCCTTAAAAATGTATCCCAAAAGTATGAAACTGATAGAAAAAAATCTTTCATCCTTTTATTTAGATAGCTTTCCGAACTTGCAATAAAAAAAAAAATTTACAAAATGTGAATGTTGAGACTTCAGAAACAAGCAAATTTTCATTTCAAAATCAATACATTTCATAGAAGATTCCGCCATTTTATTGCTTCCCAATATTTTTGATTCGTTCTATAAAATTATTATAACTTTTAATACTAAGTACATTTTAAGTAAATAATTATTAATATATCATTAACAGATCATTGAACATTATCTAAAATTTGAATCATCACAATGGCTTCCCTATTTAATCTTGAATCATAAAAGTAAACAGTGTACAATTTAGCTGTTGACTTTTATATTTTGTTACAGAGTATGCCAGTTCCGTGGAAGCATATCTTAACATCGTGGGCAGCCTGGTCAATTGGAATCACTACATTCGGTAGGATATGGGTACACTATGTTTTCATCATTTCTGGACCAATGTACATGAAAACAGTCCTAGGGTTCAGTATCCAAGCAGTACGTGTATTATTATAAACTAAAATTTTTCAAATTTTATATACGTTTCTGTATTATTCTTACGCACATGTTTCCCTTTTTCCAGAACGGGGTTTTGTCTGGTTTACCCTTTATCTGCAGCTACTTCAGTTCTGTAGCATTCTGCTATGTAGCTGATGTTCTAGTCACACGACAGATTCTCTCACTGACAAACATCCGCAAGGTGTTCACCGCTGCCGGTAAGCATTCTCAGTCTCTTCTCAAAGTCAAAATTTTGATAGGAGAGGGTAGCCAAATATAGACTGACGTTTGAATTGAATCTGATTTACAATAATATTTGTAACGAACATTTTCCTTTTCCAATACGTTGTTCATAGTCATGTACTATTAATAACGTTGTAAGTATTTTTCTTTTTCAATTAAAGCATTGGTCTAAATTTGGCTACTCTTACATATAATAAATTGTCAATGTGCGGACAAATTATTACTATTCCAAGTAACATCGATTAATTCATTTTTTAAAGTACTTGATGTATGTATCGACTTTATCACTTAAAAATATCGTCTCCTTGATACATGTTACATTCACATGAAATATTTATCTCATTTTGTGATGATGATGTCGAGTAATAAAATATTTTTCGTTTTTAGCTCAAGTGGTTCCTGGAATATTATTGGTATTGATCGGTTATCTGGGTTGTGATATCATTCTCGTTTTAGTGGTATGGTTCATAGCTGTCAGCCTTATCACTGCTGCCTACGCAGGAGCGATGGCAAGCATCGTTGATATCGCGCCAAACTTTGCTGGCAAGTAAACACAATTTATATATCTTTTAAGTATCTTCTCTGAAATTTTTGTATCATGTTCCATTATATCTTTGTAGGTCCGATATTAGCATTTGCGCAGACAATTCACATGTCAGCTAGTTTCCTATCTCCTATTGTAGCTGGACTACTTACTCAGAAAAGCGTGAGTAATTATTTTATTTATTTTTGGTAGCATTCATATATTCGATAGAATTTACTTGTGATACCTTGTCTTTTATTGGTGGTTTAAAAATTGCTTTGGGTATGGCATATACATTTTGTAGAAATTTATATTTATACAGCAAAGGGTTACAAAATAATTCTTTCCACAGCAAGCCCTCGATGCCTGGAGGCAAGTTTTCGGCGTGAGCGCGTGTGTTGCCTGTGGCACTTATGTCGTCTATCAGGTTTTCGGAACTGCAGATATTCAGGCATGGAACTATCCCGATCTCAAGTATCCGCAGTCTGATAAGGAAGATTTCGAGCCTTTGAACGATATTTCCCGGAAGAATGGAAAAATCATGAAGTCGAACTTGGCCGAAGAAGCATAACACAATTCAGCCGCAAGAAACACATGAGTTATGATGATCACGTATCGGAGATAATTAGAAATGCCCCTCGCTAAGTATCGCGTGAGGAAACTTATTCTGCCTGTGTACACGAGGAAAATTTATCTTTTTTAAATGTTCCTGCGTGGTGTAAATAATTTCCGTATTCCTTGATAGAGTGAATTAGTGAAGAGCAGTCAGGGTATATACAGGGTGTCCCAAAAATGTCTCGCATTACGGAAATGTGGGGTAGCTGAGATCATTCTAAGTAACTTTTCCTTTGCGAAAATGCAATCTGCGGCTTTGTTTACTAGTTATTAATGAAAAACACTGACCAATGAGACACAATGGCGCGAAACACAACGTGGTCAATCGATCGAGTGCCATGTGCACCTACTACTGATTTTGACAGCTGAAGAGGGACTCTGTACCATGTAGCAGTGGTAATCTTAAGAAAAACGCTGTTCATCCATATTTCAGAATGTCTGAAGAATATTTACTAATTTTTCAGACCTGAAATAATAAGTATGACAGCCGTTTTAATTTTCTGATGTGCATGACACCTCATGTGTACCATATGAAATTTTTAATGCAAGGTGAAGATTAACAAAGTTCGTAAATTTTAATTTAAATAATTCCGCGTCCGAACACAATTCAACGAGCGATTCGCAAAGCTAGTTTAATAAATAATCGTGTTAAAGGACGTAAGAGATTTGTTTAATAGAGAAATATGAAGAATATTATCAATAAGAAACTCACCCATTTAGTTGTAAATCCACTACATGGTCGGAAATGTGTGCTGGAGAATAGTGCATTGACCTCGAACAATGTATGATGAACTGCACAGCTGATCTGTATCCGACATATCTGTATCCTACATTATCACTAAACACTGATCACATATCAATAATATCTGCGGACGAACTTTCCTGGATTAATATGTATGGCCCCGAAAAGAACCGATTTTCTAATGCGACGCGTTCAAAGTTCACACCGTTAACAACACGCACCGCGTTGATACATTTCGTAATGATCTCCTAAACCCTTTGCAGTATCCTTGGAGTAAACAAGTTGATCGCATCGTACAAGAATAATTAGGAAACTTCTTTCGCGACGTCCTTTTCATATTAATGCTCGGGTCGAACTGCAGAATGGCCGACAATGTTCACGTCCGATGGGAAACAGTTGAAACTCGCTCGCAGGAAAATGAAACATTGTCGGTCATCGTGCCAATCTGCTGCAGTTCGTACGCAGTGCGTGTTGTTAACAATACGAACTTTGAACGCGCAGCATTAAAAAATTAGCTCTTTTCAGGGCCACACATATTAACCCAGGAAAGTTCGTCCGCAAATATTATTGATATGTGATCGTTGGAATAGCCTGCCTGGAAACATCCTTCTGTTCGTCGCCGTCGGATACAGATCAGTTGTGCAGTTTATCATACATTGTTCGAGGTCAATGCACTATTCTCCAGCACACATTTTCGACCATGTAGTGGATTTGCAACTAAATGGGTGAGTTTCTTATTGATAATATTCTTCATATTTCTCTATCAAACAAATCTCTTATGTCCTTTAACACGATTATTTATTAAACTAGCTTTGCGAATCGCTCGTTGAATTGTGTTCGGACGCGGAATTATTTAAATTAAAATTTACGAACTTTGTTAATCTTCACCTTGCATTAAAAATTTCATATGGTACACATGAGGTGTCATGCACATTAGAAAATTAAAACGGCTGTCATACTTATTATTTCGGGTCCGAAAAATGAGTAAATATTCTTCAGACATTCTGAAATACGGATGAACAGCGTTTTTAAAAAAATATCGAAAGTTCATGCTCCCCCCCCCCCCCCCCCCCCCC